GTTCAAAATGTTTTTGAGTTTTTCCAGATTGTTCTTAAAGCAGAGCCCCATCTCTACTCCAGAGCTATTTTGACCAAAAATCAGTGCAAACAAAACTGGCAATAATTCAGCAAAAATATATATATATATATATTATTTTTACCCTGACAGCTTTATATCCTTTTAATGTTGGTGAAATTATATGTATGAAAGAGGAGAGGTAACTGGGTTTGAGACCATCTCCATGCTTTACCTGAAAGTCCAGGAAGACAGAAGGTTAATGTCGGGTAGGATGTTTTTAACAGAATATTCAGCATCCTTTATGTGGCTGTTTGCATTGATGTATAGAAGACTTTTCATTGTTTTATAGATTTGCCTGCTAGCTCCAAGGAGTGAATCCTTGCTGGAACGTTGAAACTCTAGTGGTACTTCTTTAACCTAAAGAGCTCTTCATGTTTCACTGAATGTTTAAAACTGGAAGGTCTTGTTCTTTTGGGGGGTGTATTTTCTTTTTCTTTTTTGTTACTTGTTGAGGGGAGGGGGCGGGATCTGCGTTGTGGTGGGGTAGGTTAGGGGTTTAACGCGGCTAAGGAGGGTTGTTTTAAAATGAACGTTGCGTTCAGTGGGTACGTTTTTGTTTTTTTTGKTTTTTTTCTGTATAGCTTTCCTCCCCTCAAAACAAAAAAAGAAAAGTCTATTTAAATAGACTTTTGACCTCGCTACCTCTGATTACTCTCATGAACTCTGTCGATTAGTTGAAAGTTCCTATGTAATTAATTGTAAAAAGTGTGTAGATTATGGTAACTTTTCACCTAATGCTTTAACCTGCCCATCTCTCAACACAGGTTTTTAATGCTCATAGAATTTTACGCATTAATGTTGTTCTTAGCTGTTTGTATTTGTCAGATATAGCTTTCCTTTTCGGGGTCCGGGTCACTGTGGAACCCCAATTCAAAGTGTACTGTAGCGTCCTGCCTGGAGCAAATAGTGTTTAGTTGGTTAGTTTTAGATGTATAGTGTTCCAAAGATCTTAATGAATGTCGAGGAAGAGCAGAGCTAACTAACAAAACATTGCTAGACAAGTTCATAACCAAAGTTTAATAATAAAAAGATGTACTTAAGATATATAGCATACTAAATTATTTTTTTCTTTAATTTCTTTTTTGCTGTACAAAACAAATTATGAATTTTATTGTAAGGTCTAGACAAAGAAATCCACTTGTTTCGAGGGAGTTTTGGCCAATGACTCTGAGACCGATGGAGGTTTTAGTGGTTTTGCAAAGAAAAGCTTGTGCTGATTGGTGGGCTGGTACATTATAAACTTTACAACCTGACAAAAACAGGTAAAGTTTTAACTCTTGATTCTTTTTTTGTTTGTGTGTGTGTGTGTGTCCAGAGTCCCTATCACTTTATATTCCCTGATTTAAGAAAAAAGTTTAAAAAAAACAAACAAACAAAAAAACCAGAACTTGATAATGTTTTATGTGTTCTGTTCAGACCAAAAAAAGAAAAAAAAAATAGGAATTATCAGACTTTTAATGTGAAGTTTAACTTACTTTTTTCTTTCTTTTTTTTAATGAGCCAGACTTGTGAAATCTTGTAATAASAAGGGAGAAGCAGAGATGCACTGGACAGATGGACACCTGGTCTCCTGCAGCATCTTTTTTTCTGTCYGATTGTATTCCGTTTGATCACAGAACTGTTTTTAAATTATTTTTGAACTATTTTAAGCTGTACCTCATCTGAAGCAACCACAAGTCGAGAATGGCCCTTTTTTTTAAATTGTTTTTATTTTCTTTCTCTGAGACCTGTCCAGTGTATCCTCTCTTTAAAAGTCACACTGGGTCATTAACCTCTAAGCTTTTGGTATAGGCATTCCTCTGTTATGTTGGTTTAACTGTCCTCTTGATTGAAAGGTTTTGTTTAATACCTCTTTTCGTCCTCTTCGTTTTGGTCTGTGAATTCGTTTTGGTCTGTGAAATGTTCTTATCACAGGGATGCAGCTAAAGTTTCACACATGTCACTATCGTTTAGAGGTACCTGCATCCTGGACTCCCGGAGGTTTTCTGTCTTGTTGTTCAGCAGTTGCTGTTTAGATATTGCATGGTACATGTGGATTTTTTTCACACTCCTCCCAACTTTGATCCCCCTCCACCACCCACCCACCCTCAAACTTATTTATCGCCTGATCCTTTTTTGCTCGTGACCTCTTCTAGCTTGAGACGGAGTCCACATTGCATTGCCTTCAAACGTTACTGTACTCGTCGGCGCTTGGTGCGTTGCAGCAAAATGTCTGTGATGCAAAAGGTGTTTGTACAACATAATCTTTAGCCATCTCTGCAAAAAGACTGCAGTCACATTCGAATGCTTGCTTGTTTTGACATAACGAAGAGAAAAAAAATCCAAACTGTGACCGTACTACTACTACTATTAGTACTACTACTATTCAAGTACTTCAGGGATTGTTCTGTGTCTGTGAATGCAGACTCTCAGCTACATTTGTAAGATAAAGCATTGTATCGATTTCTCTGTATTTTAATCTGTGGGGGATAAAGCAAAAACACTAGTTTCATATGACAAAACATTGGGGCGGTTTCTTTTTTTTACAACTAACACAAAAAGCCTTGACAAGGCGAGGCAGCTCAAAAAAAACTACAAAAAAACAACTCTACATTTTATTTGGTAACACGGTATGTTCAGAAAATAGTTGCAAACTTGTACAAAGAACTTAGAAGAAAGAAAAGCTCATACCCAAATCCACAAACTATTTTTTAAACCAAAGCACATTTGAATGATTATGGAACCATGTGTGGCTCTAAATAAAAAATTAAAAAAAAGAAAAACATATGTATTTATCTCATTGTTTACATGAACTTTTACAGTTTTACAGACCTCAGTCGAGGCTCGGCCAGTCCGGAAAGGTGCTCTTTTTGTTTGTTTTTTTTTTTTTTGCTTTTTCCACAGAGGTTGCTGCCAAAACAAAAGTATACCATTAAACATGGGGTGGGGCTACTGCATATTCAATTAGAGGGAGGGTATCTGTTCTAGTGGCACCCCCCGCCCCCCATCCTCCCCTCCCTGCCAGCTGGCTTTGGGGTGTCCCTGCACCCCAGTCCTCCTGCCCTCTGGCCTGTCTTCAGATGGGACTGCAGGAAAGGGGGGGTGGGCTGTGCTTCCTTGATGTATTAATCAAAGGGCATTGTTCGATGGTGTCTTTTAGCTCTACGTGGTGCCTCCGTTTACCCAAACGCACACGAGGGGCACCTCTTGCGTTTGGGCCAGGGTGGGCGCGCCGCTCTTCGACGCTCGTGTCGTCCTACACGACGCATCTTTGCTGGCAAATCTTGAACCCTATCTGGAGAATGTAGCATCGATTTGTTCTATACACGTAAACAGGCTTATCTCGTAGAGTCTTAACTGTGAATGTTGTCATTTTTC